CTGGAGCATCAGACACAGAGCCTGGGGAGGAATGAGCCTGACTCCCACAACCTCAGAATCTCAGAGTAGGAAATGACCTCAGGGCCATGATGAGCCTCCCCTGCCAGAAGAAGGCCCTGCCCCCTCTGCCCCTGGAGCCCACAGGCTCAGTCAGTCCTCCCCTGAGGCCCCTCCTTCAGGGATCCAGAGCAGGAGCAGATTTGCATGTGGGGCCTCCTCCCTGCAGGGCCTGGGTTGGTTTTAAGAGAGCCCTGGGGGAGCCCAGCACCAGCTGGGGAGCCTCAGGACAGTGAGCTCTGGGAGGAACCTTGACCATGGCCTGGATCTCTCTGCTCTTCTCATTCCTGACTGTCTACACAGGTGAGGCTTCCCAGGGACTCCTCCCTGTGGCTCAGGCCCCACGATGTCTCAGACCAGGCCTGCCCTGAGCTCATGCTGAAGCTGCTTGAGGGGCCAGCATCCCCTTGTGGAGAGAGGTCCCTGCCTCTGACCAATGTCCTCTTTCCTCTCCTTGCAGGTTCTGGGGCCTCCTATGTGCTGACTCAGCCACCTTCAGTGTCCAAAAATCTGGGAGAGACGGCCTCCATCTCCTGTGCTGGAGATAGGGCTAATAGTAATAGTGTACAGTGGTACCAGCAGAAACCTGGCCAGGCCCCTAAGCTGGTGATTTATAGCACTAGCAGCAGGCCCTCGGGGATCCCTGCCCGATTCTCTGGCTCCAAGTCAGGGAACACGGCCACCCTGAGCATCTCTGGGCTTCAGGCTGAGGATGAGGCTGATTATTACTGTCAGCAGTGGGATAGTAATGCTGATGCTCACAGTGACACAGACTGATGGGGAAGTGAGACAAAAACCCCCCAGGCTCTGTTCCCACTGTGCCCTCCCCTCTGGGCTCCACGGGTGCCTGGTGAGCACAGGACAGAGACAGCTTCTCCCTCAGGCCCCTTCCTCCCCTCCTCCCTCCCTGCTCTTCTGACCCCTTCCCTGAAATGGACGGGCCGAAAGTAACCAGACACACGCCAAATTAGAAAATAGAGAGCATTTACTGGAGCCGGCCGGCGACTGTCCCCTGGATGCAATCCTAGGAGAGCAGTGCCAGGCAAGAGAAATAACAAAGCTTTATACCCAACAGTTTTCAATCGTAGATACTAATCCTTTGATGTAGTGAAATTTACAATCGTGGATTAGCGATCCTTTGAGGCAGGGGAATTTACAATCGTGGATTCACAATCCTTTGAGGTAGGGACTAGGGAGGTTAGGCTAGGTTTGTGACAACTTAGTCCACTTCACTCCCCCCTTTTCACTGACGAAAAGAATCAGACGGGGGACTCATCAGAGTTCAGAGGAGCATAGGATCGACGCAGGACAAACAACTGGAGTGCTTGCACTCGTTTCTGGACATAGCGGGTTATGCATTTTATGAAACAAGGGGCCACAAGTAACCCAAGGAGGAGAAGGGCCAGAGGGCCCACCACTCCGGAGAGTAGGGTGGTTAGCCAGGGGGACCAATTATACAGGGTCTGATACCAAGAAGACCCCGTTGCCCGTGCGCGGTCCCTCTCATCTAACCGCTGCCTAAAAGCTTGCAAGGACTCCCGAATAACTCCAGACCGATTGGCGTAGAAACAGCAGGTTTCTCCCAACGCCATGCATAAGCCTCCCTGTTTGAGGAACAGTAGGTCCAAGCCTCGGCGGTTCTGGAGAACCACTTCGGCCAGAGAGTCTAGGGAAGTCTCAAGGTGTGAGCCTAGCTCTTCCAAGGAGCGTAGGTCCCTGTCTACCTGTGCACTCAAGGCACCGTAGTTGGCTTTCCCTTGTATCAGGGCTGAGGCCCCAACAGCAGCGGAGCCGGCCACTCCGAGTCCCACCAATATAGGAACCAAGATGGGTACAGCCCTCCTGGAGCGAGTTAGGCCAAAATGCTCAGCTGCCCCTTCCTCTGAGTAGACATATACCTGAGGAAAGACACGCACCACTACACAGAGCTCGATCGGGTTGAGGAAACGAATGTCCTGTATGCAGGTGGTGAGTCCTCTGGTACAAGCGAACCATACTCCAGGTGGGGCGGTTAACAGGAGGTCAGAGCTTTTGGATGTGGGGGAAATAAGAATGACTGAAGTGCACGTAGCGTTGAACGGGGAGGACCGCAGCGGGTAGTCAGGCCCGAGCAAACACATTCCTTTGCCCTGGAC